GCCATTTACTGATTTTTTCGGAAGTTAATTTCTAACTTCTTTCACTGATAAATGAAAAAAAAGTATTGCACCTTTTGAAATACACCAAATGGATTGAGTTCATAATTAAAAAAATTTTTTCCCTGTCAGTCATTGTCTTATATGCTTAGCATAGATTTGCAGCTCAATAGTGTATGATTTGGTGTTCCTAGAACGCAGCTGAAGACCTGGTATACAGAGGAAATAGGAGGGGCGGTGCTAGAAGACAGATGTCTATGGAATGATTCACATCCTCTTCCAAATTACGAGGATGGAGGCCTGCTTCATTAAGAAGCTGGGGGTTGGGTGGGGGTGGGGAGAACACTTAACAACATGGGGACCAGTCAGGGGAATCCCCTTATTTCTGTTTTGCATCTGAGGAGCCTTAGAACAGCCTGTTGAGGCTCTCTAGTTTAATAAAAAATAATGGAAGGAGTCTTATGAAGACTCCTCATAAGTGTTAATAGGGATTTTATCAGCTTATTTTGGTTGCAATTTCCAATTTTTAAAAATGTTTAGGTAATCTTTTCCATCTTCCCAAAATCGTAATTCTTGTAGTTTCGTTAGTGTTGAACAAATGCTTTCTCATGTCTCAACTCTTTGTATATGCATTCTTTTCAGATGTATTAAACAAACAAAAACCCTTCACAAGCCAGCCTGAGGGTTGTTATTTTCCCTCCGCCTCTTACTTTCCAGGTATTTAGGAGTGGGAACTTGACTTCTACGTAACATCAATTTCTCACAAATTTTGGGATAAGATTTTAAGCTTTATAATTTTTATTTATTTTCTGGCATTTAGTTTGAGGTGTTTTTCTTTCCATATGTTTAGGTTTGTGCCTTCTCCCTTAAGTTTGGCAGGTAGTCCAGAAACTCCTTCCCTTAAGTACTAGGTAGGTCTATAAGAGTTCTTATGAAGAATTATTCAGGAAGCTCACTGTTCATGTTATTGGAAGGAAATATCAGCACACCTCTAATCGGTGGATTAGTTGGAAAGCAGCTAGTTTCTCTCAAGTTTTCTGCATTAGTGATTCTGAAACTTGGCTACTTACTGAAGTGCAGCTTGAGCAGTGGGATTTTTAAAAGTTTTCCAGGTATTTCAAAAATGCAGCCAAGTTTGAGAACTACTGCTCCTAGTTTGTTATCTCAAACTACTTCTGCCAGATTTCAGATTCTGGGCTGTGAATCTGAATATGAGACATGTTTTCTTTTGGTGGCGAGAATAATTTGTTTACCTTAAGGGGATTGTACTGTTCTGCATGAGAATCCTAGAAACTAAGAAACTTTAATCCAGTTAAGGTTTATACAGTTGTAGCTTCATTTTGACAGTTTTCTGCATAGTGTCATGTTTGACATGATTTCATGCTGTACTTAGAACCAAAGCTGCATTGGCTGGGAAGGGGTTAGGAAGAGGCATATCTGAGTTATACCACTTTTAACCAATGTATCTTATTTATTTCTGTTGACCATATTGGGTGGAGATAGCTGGCTCATGCTGTGATATCCTGGAGAGCAGAGACATGTGCATCCCTATTTCT